CATGAGACTGACTCATGCGAATGCACTGGGCAGCACAATGGGGACAAATCCAGTCAGTGAAAGGGAAGAAGGAGACAACTGGTGCAGAGCTGCAGACAGAGAACATGGCTTCTGAATGAGTCTTATGAGGAGGCACTGTCACAGACTCTTGCAAACATTTCAAGACATTGTGTGTCAGCCATGTTGTCAAGTCTAACAAAAACCCAGCAAGCATTATTTACATAAAGGCCTTTGTAGTGTTGTGTCATTAAAACATCAGGAAGGATGAAGGATGACTTTTCTTTCCTAAGTTGATATGATTCTGAACAATACACCATTGAGTATCAAGACAAAAGATACATTTTGTCTGTTTGACTGTTCTTGTACAAGACAGACATGTCTTGTGAAATGATTCCAAACTCATTACTGCTATCCCTGCATTTCTCCATTAGCCATATTACAGCTGGACTAGCTCATGTCAAGGATGCCTACATCCTTGCATTCAGATGCAATCACACCACTGCAATCAGAACAGCATTCTTCAGTAGCAGAAACTATAGGCTTTCAGCATTCTTTGGCTTCTGTGGTTTAACTAACTGAAACTCAGCAAGATAAACTAAAGAACAGAAAGTACCAACATTCAGAAAAACAAACATCTGAATATGAACACGTTGCTGTTAATATTCTTTAGTATTCAGTTTTAATGAAATTCACAGTCAGTCTGTACTTTAGCACAGATGCATTCAAGACTAGTAATTACTTATTCTTGCTTCACCTTGATTCCAATTCCACCATGATAATATAACACTTTTCAACTCAGAGTACAGCTTCATGAGAAACAAGTCTGTGTTCTAATACTCCAGTGGGTGACTTCCATCTTAACTGGAGAATCCTGGGTAATAGAAAACAAGTCTTTCCAACACAGTCAGACAGTGGCAAGTCCATTCATTCTGGCACAAGACAGGGAAGAGTCATACAGGTCACCAACCACGGTTGCACTTGCAGTCACTGGGGGGGGTTCCTTCCAGAGCTGGTAGTTCAGACAAGCCATCAACTACTCAGTCAATGCAGCCACACTTGGGATACATGACACAGCCTCAGGACTTAACTGCTACAAGTATCGTCAGCAGCTAGGACTGCACAGCCACTAGTGAGCATGAAAGCACTAGTACACACTTTGGGGCACATTTAAGGTATATGTAAAAATGCAATCAAAAATAGTCTCCAAGCAATATAGTTTAAAAGGCCTCGCTTGCTCCAGCTGTATGTTTTTTTTGTTTTGTTTTTTTAATTCTCTCCATCTTGAAAAGCAAAATCTGATCAGATATCTAACTAGGATAGAGATATTCATGCAGTTTGTTCTAGGTGGGTTACATATTGTCAAATACCATAAAACAACATATGCTACAACCTTATTGACTGTAGAAGCAGTCAAATGGCAGCATAAATCCAGTTCTTTAAATGCACTAACTTAAAAACATCTGAGACTTGCCCACACCAGATGTATTCAACATCCCATAACGCGAGGCAGTTTTCTTTCTCTTGCATTCTTGATTGTCAAAAAAAAAAAAACCAACACACAACAACAAAGGAGTTTTGACTTCTGGATTCCTTACTTCTAGCTGCACAAAGCCATTATTCTAAGCTGCATGGTATCATAGTTCAAAACTAATATTGAAGCAACACGGAACCCTCTTGGGACTCTGGGAACAGTAATTTGAGCCAGACAGATTACTTGCCCAAGAAATGGGAGACATGCTCCTTGCTACATGCTCTATTGCAGCCAAATCTTCATTCTGGCAGTGAGAAGCATAAGGAATCAAAAAGCTCCTGCACAATGGTAAGGTTCAGCTGATACAAAGATCTTCTGTTTACCAGACTGAGTTGGCTATCCAATTTAAAGTAGATTTGTTAGTGCAGATGAGATGTGCTAAACTAGCTCAGGTTTGGTGCTGCTGCCAAGCTAAGAAACCCTGCAAGAATCCAAAGTGACTACAGACAAAGTTCTAAGCCTGAAACAGTAAGTGCCGCCAAATCTGAGCCAGATGAGATATCAGTACACAAGGGATTCATTTGAGAAAAGCCATACAGACTCACTTAAGTTGGATCTGGCCAGAGCTGGCTTAGCCCAGCAAACTTACCTCAGTACCAGTTCCAGACAAACACTGCTTCACACCTAAGCTGGCTCTGCAATACGTACTACGTTGAGAACAAGGAAAGGGGTCCAATGTCTTCTAGTTTGGTTTCACAGAAACCACCTAAGGTTCAGAAAAATGAAGTAGCACTAACATAACGGTGGTTGCTTTTCTTTTTTTTTCTTTCCCCCTCCCCCCCCCCCTCCATTCTCCAGAGTATCCTAGTTCCTACTATTCCTGTCAGACTCAGTTGGAATCTGAGCATTCCTCCTCATTTTTTTCTCCTCCTCCACTCTAAGAATAAGTCAAGCCATCTCTTGGTGATGCAAAGTTGACTACATACAAACAGCAGCACCATCACCTTTTCCTTCAATCATGTTCTAAAAATCAGAGTGAGTCATGAGTCTTTTTACAAAAGGACAAGTTAGACACACCAATTCCAAAAGAGGATTCTGTGATTCTCTGGCTGAAGACGCAGACAGATTTCAGACATCTCTTCTCCTTGTTATTTTTGACCATTAAACCCAAAGACCCTGTACAGTGGCGTAGCAATTGGACAGATTAATATAAGGGAAAAAGCATTACAACAGAGATATGATTTATTCTCATACTTCTCTTCCTTGTAGGGGTCTTAATAAAACAAAGTACCCAAAGTCTTTAGCAAGGAAAGCAGAAGGCTGAGAGGTCATACAAAGCTCTTGAGTGAATGAGTATTAATGGCTGTTTTGCATCTACTGATATTTTTCAGTTCACATAAACATCTTAGACCTCTTCTGAAAATAAGAAAACGTTTAATATGCATTTTGCAATCAACAAACGAGGAAGATGACAGACACTATGAGTAAACCACTGCTACAGTAGACCTTTGCCACAACCTGGAAACTGGAACTGCAGCCTTGGAGGTTGGCTGTCAGCTGCATGGCATTGCAGAAACAACAGATCAACAACAACCCAGTGGGGAAGTGCAGCATGTAGAGAAACATAATTCTGTTCAGCTTTGGTTTCACATATACATCACTCTCAACATCGCTCTGTTATGTGGTAAACATGTGCTAAAAATATTTGCTTGAAACAATTACATCTTAATGAAATTTGAAAGAAATGCAAGGCGATAATCAGAAAGCTCAACTTTCTCATGTCACTGATGAAATTAACTTTTCCTTATTAGCAAGCATCATAATTTGGAGTCTTGATTCATACCTGACTTTTAAAATGATTCTTCCATTCCCACTTACAGATAACTTATGTTAATGTCTAACTCTGAAGTTACTAAATATAATGCCACATACAGTAAGTATGTGATATTACAATGAAGGAGCAAGCAGTTTGCACTATATCTACCCCTGCAATTCCTACTGAAAAACCACAGCCATTCACACTACCACAGGAACATAGATAAAATACATTCAATGCTTTGACTTCATAACTCTTGTTTCTGAGGAAAGCATGCAAAACATAATGAAATAAAACAAAAGTATTCAGTTACATTCTGTGCAGTAGTGGCAGAACTCTAGATAGGATAGCCTGCAAAAAATTCAATGAAATGATCTTACATTTACATCTCTGTAAGCTGAAAAAACATATTCTGGAGTCTACTTCTCTTTTGCATTTAATTTTTTGAGGCTAGCCACACTGTTGTAAAGTAAATGCAAAGTCACTGCATAATGTTATCTGCAGAGTGGTGATGCCGCACTGATGTAAGTGCTGACACAAGTGCAAGGCACAGAAAAAAAAAAAAAGAAAAAAGGCTGAGGCAGCTAACAGCTCAAATTTCCCTCCCCAAATCATCTAGGCTTCCTTACACAGTTTAACTTCTTATTTTTGTGCTCACCAAATCCTGAGGCTTTTAGATATCTGCAAGACTTCCAGCACACGTTGCCTTCCAGTTCTCACTATCAGCACCAAGCAGTTGCTTTGCAGGAAAGATTGGTCACACACAGGAACGCCCTCTCCCCGTGCTGCAAAGCCACACCTCTGTACTCCAGCACATCTTCTGCTGGCATCTCTGGGAGATCTTCAGTGCTGCAAAAGTTACGGAGAGAATGAAGCAGCAGAGGGCTATCTTTGTGTCTGGCACACAGATCCATCAGAAGCTGCTTTTGTGGAGAGCAGGATCTGCCCCTAAGCATCAGTTACCACAGGGATGCGGTGAACCATTACAAAAACAAAACCAAAGCACAAGTTGAAGGAAGGTCCCCTGGTGCTCTAACACCCATTTTTCTTAATCACCTTTCCCAACTGCAATTAACTCACCCTCCTCCACCAACTTTGCCTTGGGTATTAGTGTCACATACTGGAAATCGCTGTAACACATTACAGGATTTCACAAAACAAAGCACACCAACTTTATGCAGTACAGCTAGGGGAAAAGAAAGATTTGCACTTGTCTTCCTCATGCAAACATCCACAACTGTAACTTACACCCAACTATCCTGCTGGGCCAACAGGCAGGATCACACTCAGGTGCACCAAATAAGAGATACTGTAATGAGGATTACCAGGAGACGCTTCAAATACGTTTGACTCCTAGTAGGATGCCCAAAGCCCTAGTGGTAGCACACAGAATAACTCTCACCCCTACCCTGTACTCAACTGGCTGCCCGCTCGCCCTCAGCATCCCCATAAGCAGCAGCACACCCACCTGAAGAGCGCTCAGTCCCTCCCTCAGCTCCTCCCACCCCACCGTCCTTCTCACGCCGCCCCTCCCGCGCACCTCACCTACACTTGCTTGCTTGCTCACTCCTTCGCCCGCCTCCTTGCTTCGTGCCGTGTGATTGGCTATCCATAACAGGGCCCCGCCTCCCGCCCCTCGCCGATTGGCCGCTGTGCCCGCGCAGCCATTCGGTTGGATGCCGCGCTGAGGAGCGGGCGGGTGGGCGGACGGTAGCGGCGCTGCCATTGGCGGGAAGGCGCGGGCCTGCGAGCTGTGCTGGGCCGGCCGGCGGGGCGAGGGCCCAACTGCTATTGTTGCCGCATCGCCGAGGAGAGCGGCCGGCGCGCAGCCATGAGCGGCGGCGTTTACGGCGGAGGTGAGTCCGGCACCGCGAGACCGCTGAGCTCGCGCCGTCCCGTGAGGCGCCGCGTGCCCGCCCGTCCCGCCTGTCCCTCGGGGCCCAGCAGCGGCGCGGCCCCGGCCCGGCTCCCTCCCGCCGCGCCGCTCCCGGCCCCGCCGCTGCCCCGTGCGCGAGGAAGAGGAGGCCGCCACGGACCTCGTCCGCGCCTCTACCGGCACCGCTCCGCCGAGAGGCGGCCCTGCAAGGCGGTCCCGGGCTGGTGGCGGTGCTGCGATGCCGGGCGGGAGTCTGAGGGTTTGGATTTCTTTAAGAAGTCGTGGAAGATCGGAGCCCCGGGCAGGAGGGCGGTTCGGAGTGCGGCACCCCAACCTGCGGGGCTGGGGCGTCTGGCTCCTGCTGCCCACGCTCGGGTTCCGGCCGACTCGGGGCGATCCCGGCCTGCCTCGGTTCGTGCGAGTTTTTGACAGCTTGGTTTCGGAGTCGGCGCTCAAATGTCTGTTTCCGTGCATCGCAGATCACGTTGCTTTGTTTAAAGCTCACCCTGTGCCACCCCCTGCCGTGTGCCGGCTGCCCCCTCCAGCTCGGGCTGCCCAGGGCCAAGGAACCTGGCACACAGCTCTGGGCAGCGGTGCCGGGGCTTCATTCCCCTCTCTGAAAAATTTCTCCCTAACATCTGATCTAAATCTTTTCCTTTATTTTGAAACTATTTCTCCTTGTCCTATCACTATCAAACCATGTACAAAATCAGTTTCTCTCTGTTTATAAGCTGCCTTAAAGTACTAGAAGGCTACAACAAGATTTCACTGGAACCTTCTCTAAGCTAAGCAAAACCAGCTCCCTTTCTCCACAGGAGAGGTGCTTCAGCCCTTTGATTGTCTCCTTGACCCTCCTCGCAACCCACTCCAACATCTCCTCATCCTTATGCTTGGGGCTATAGGCCTGGATGTGGTACTCCAACTGGAAATTGGCAAAGGCAGAGCAGAGACAGTCACCTTCCTCACCCTGCTGGCCACCCCTCTTCTGATGCAGCTTGGGTTACTGTTAGTTTCTGGGCTGCAGGCACACACTACTAGCTCATGTCCAGCTGCTTGAGCCTCAAGTCCTGTGCAACACCTTGTATGTGGCCTTGTTGAATGTCATGAAGTTCATGTGGACTCACTTCTCAAGCTTGTATTTAGATACAGCCCTCTTCTGTTAAAATTACTCTATTAGTTATGCCAATGAAAGGTATTGCAATGTCCTAGTTACAGCCTATCTGGAACCTCCTGATGGCTCTCAGCTTGAATTCTGAATAGAGAAGTTTCTCTGTGTCTTGGGAAACATGCCTTTATCGTGTTGGGTTTTTTTGTTTGCTTTTTTCTGGCAAGCAAAGTAGACAGAAGAGAAAGTTCAGGTCAAGATTGTAATAGAGCACAATAATCATTTACCACCTCTTTGTTAACAATCTTTTCAGATGAAGTTGGAGCTCTTGTTTTTGACATTGGCTCGTATACAGTGAGAGCAGGCTATGCAGGCGAAGACTGTCCAAAGGTAAGAATCTCTATGAACTCAGTGAAATTATAACTGGGGTTTAGAACTTGTTTTTTAGTTATAAGCTTCTAGAATATACTGTTTATTACTTTTAGTATTTAAGGAAAACTGAATTTTTTAGCAAAAAAAAAAAACCCACAACGAAAATGAATAATTTTTATTGATATCTTACCTTTTGCTTTACAGGTTGATTTTCCTACAGCTATAGGTGTGGTGCTAGAAAGAGACAATGACAGCACTCTGATGGAGATAGATGGTGACAAAGGCAAACAAGGGGGCCCAACTTACTACATAGACACCAATGCCCTGAGAGTCCCAAGGGAAAATATGGAGGCCATTTCACCTTTAAAAAATGGAATGAGTATGGTGCTCTGTCTTTTTTACCTATTTTTAAGATACCATTGCTGGGCTACAAAAAGTCACAGCTTTCATGTAAACAGATGCTATACATGTCAACTGTTTTTTCCCTTAGAGAACAGGCTCATAAAGAAAAGGTTCTGCTTTCACTAAAGAAATTTCAATACAGTAATGAGCATTTTTATGTCTTAGTGGGAGACTTGTAAATTCTTGTTTATTTGATGGCTTTAATTTAGCTATCTCCTTTGATAAAACAATAAAGAAGCAATTTTTGGAAATAGTTCCTAAGATTGTTCCCGTAATGTGTATGGACAGAGGCTAAGAGCCATCAGAATGGATATTTGATTTACAAAATACATAAAGCATACATACTACGTCGGTGGACTTTTATTATAACTTATCTGCTATCATGATGCTTATAGAAAAAGAAAGAGAGAATTTGGCAAAGCAGGAGGGGTATGGGTCTGCTGAGGACAGCTTTTGACTGAAGAGCTCTTTGGGAAAAAAAAGCATCAGGAAACCTTTATGTGGATTTATGAAGTAGATCAAAAGTTAGAAGTAACTAATCTGCTTGCTTCAATGTCATTGCAGTTGAAGACTGGGATAGTTTCCAGGCAATTTTGGATCACACTTACAAGATGCATATTAAGTCTGAAGCGAGTTTGCATCCTGTCCTTATGTCTGAAGCACCAGTGAGTAAAAAAAGTTTTAAATTTTGAGGAGTCTTGATCTTCATGCTGAATCTACAGACATTAGTCTTGGAGAAATCCAACATTGGCTTGTAGGTTATGGCTGTTAAAACTGAAGTACTGTGTGGGTTTTGGAAAGTATTCTCAGTAAGAAACATGCCCAAAAATCCCAACAATTTGAAAGAATTTTCATGAGTTTTATTAGAAAGTACTTACTATGTGTTACTGTGTTTCATGTATTAAAAAAAAAGTATAAAATAAAAAATAATATTCTCACTTAACAGACTAGAATAAAAGCAAAAAGTTGTCTGCATGTCTCATGTTACACTTAATCCATCTTTGCATTCAGCCTACCATCTAACATGTGACAGAGTATCATGTGCAGTGGAGGAGTTTTAATTTCATTTTTGCAAGTGGCCCTGTAATGTAAGTGAAGTGGATGAATGCAGATTTCTGGAGAAAAATGGGAACAAAGTTACTGTCGTTTAGTAATGGTCAGTGCAGTGGAAATGCCAAGTCACAGCCTGAAGCAGTGATTGAGCACCTGGTGGGAAGGCAGGGCAGCCCAGGAGAGCTCAGATGCATGTGATGAACTCAGTGACCAGAAGGGGTGGAGCCAGGATGCACCCTTTCCCAGACCTCACTTAAGGGCTGGCAGTGGAGGTGAGGGTATTTTGCTGGGGATTCCTGTGTGCCTGAGGCTTCCGAAGATAAGTACCTTCTTTTCTTTCTGTGTCTATGGCTGCTGCGTTTGGGTTTGTCCTCATCTGCTGTAGCTAAAGGCTTTGCTGCTCCGTTATTGTTGCTGTGCTTTCTGTCACATTAGGGTGATAGACTTCAAGGGCATAAGATCTGAAGGTGTTAAAGTAGACCTGTAATCCAAGTATTTTGCCTGCTTTCTGTACGTTTGCTTTCTGTACTTTTAAGTTGAAGGAATGCATTAATGTTTTCAGATAGCATTAGAATAATGAAGTTTTTAAGGAAATAAATTACTAGAAATCTATTTCTGGATAGAATTTTGATTTGATTTGTAATTCTGGCTTTAATAATTCCAATTACTACTTCACTTCTGTTTGCTTTCTTTTATTATGCTCAAATGATCCTCAAGAAAGCCTGACTCCTTTTTATTTACTTGTTTGTATTTTTTTTTCTTCTTTTAGTGGAATACCAGAGCAAAGCGTGAGAAACTGACTGAATTGATGTTTGAGCACTACAACATCCCTGCTTTTTTCTTGTGTAAAACTGCTGTTCTAACAGCGTATCCTTTGGAATGTTGTGCTGGGTTTTTAGTTGTTTGTTTTGTTTTTTTTTTTTTTTTTAATCTGTGGAAATTACATAAACCTATTCTAGGCAACTCCTAGTTTAACACTGTCTAATTTTTCATCCTTGAATTAGGTTTTCCATAAACTAGGGAGGAAGTAAACAACTTTGATTTCTGAGCTTTAAGTTCAGTTTTGAAGTTCTCCCAATCTGGCTGTTGTCCTTTAAGGTGATGTCTTTTTTTCTGTTTTGCCTTTTTTTCTCCCCTCTCTTTTTTTTTTGTTAGTTTGTTTTCATTTTATACCATGAGTAAGAACACTAAAAGACCTAAATAGCGTTGTCCAAACTGAGTACTGTAACTAGACATTTACGTTCCCATAGCCTTAAGATGAATATTTGTAGCTGTTTTGAAATAACAACATGTTTTCACCTTTAGAATCTAAATGAGTTGAATGTGTTGAGGTTACTGATAGTATTGACTTGGATTTATTGACTTGGATTGCCATCTTTGTCCAAAGCTAAGTGTTCTGTCGATTGGGTTGTGCACTCTGTAGGAAGGTGATGTGCCTGGGAGAATAGCAAACCGGATTGTAGAGCTGAGGAATTAAACGCTGGCATTCCTAATTAAACGCTGGCATTCCTAATTAAACGCTGGCATTCCTAATTAAACACTGGCATTCCTAATTAAACACTGGCATTCCTAATTAAACGCTGGCATTCCCAATTATCCTTAAATCGTATCTTACTTTTTTAAGATGAGAATTATGCTACTTTCTTTAATTGTTTCGACTAGTTTTGCTAATGGGAGATCTACAGGTCTCATCTTGGATAGTGGAGCAACACATACCACTGCTATCCCAGTGCATGATGGATATGTACTTCAGCAAGGTAAAGTCTTCTTGAATAACAGCACAGCAGTATCAAAGACAAGTTGGCTCGTTTTCTGTTTTTACAGTTTAACTACTGCTTTTAAACGTATCTCTTCCCTTAAATATGAAAAATGAAACACAACCAAATATCCAACTGTGTCTCTGTGGGAGAGTTCATTCTGTTTTCAGTTCTTTATGAGTTTGATGGTATGGGTTGTTGTTTTTATCTTTTAGGTATTGTAAAATCACCACTAGCAGGAGACTTTATTACTATGCAGTGCAGAGAACTGTTTCAGGAAATGAATATAGAGATAATTCCTCCATATATGATTGCTTCAAAGGTGGGAAAGTACATTTAGTGTTTGTTTGGGGGGGGGGGGGGGGGGGGGGGGGAGGGAAGAGCTTAAATGGTGAACTTGTGGTTATGTTCCCTTCAACTTCAGGAGGCAGTTCGTGAGGGCTCACCAGCAAATTGGAAAAGAAAAGAGAAGTTACCCCAGGTCACTAGGTCTTGGCACAACTACATGTGTAATGTAAGTATGTCACTTCTCCAACTCAGTCTCCCTGGGCATTCCATAACAAAATCTTGTTTGCAAGTATGTGAGGTTTTCTTCTTCGGGAACTAGAAAATGTTTAAAAAAAACAAACAAAAAATCGAAAACCTCAGTTCTGTAAGTTTTATTGAATTATTGACTGACATTCTTGTAACCATATAATTCTTATCTTCCTAGTGTGTCATTCAGGACTTCCAAGCTTCTGTCCTCCAAGTGTCAGATTCAACCTATGATGAACAGTATGTTGCTCTTTTCCTCCTTGTGAAATTAGTTAACGGTTGTGCATGGAATGCTTTGCTGTTCATTGCTGTTGGCTTGTTTTATTTAGAGATGAAGCAAAGGTAGATAACATCTATTTATTTAAGTAGAGAAATAGTATGCATCCAGGTGGTAGCTTATTTAATATTCCATAAGATCATAATATTATCAAAAGCATCATTTAGAGAAATCACAGTATTCTCACTGGTTTACAATGCTACTTAGATAATATTCTGTTTACATTGTACTTTAATGTGTTGCTTTCTGAATGCTCTAGGGTTGCTGCACAGATGCCAACAGTTCATTATGAGTTCCCCAATGGCTATAATTGTGACTTTGGTGCTGAGCGTCTAAAAATTCCTGAGGGATTATTTGACCCTTCTAATGTAAAGGTAAAACAACTATGATATGTAACAATGAGGAGGCTTTAAATTAGTGATTTATTACATGGTTTCCCTTTGTATGGTGTCCCTAACTTCCTGATTTGTGTGTGTGTTTATGTCTTGTGGTTCTCTTATCAGTTAATTTGCTCTGTGTTGACTTGTTAGGGTTGGGAAAGTAACAGAAGAAATGTAGTTCAAGAATGAGATGTGCTGGACGTTTCTTGGGAAAACAATAACGTTTTTCACTTTCCATTGCAATGTTTTGCTCTCTTCAATAAATTAAATGAATTCAGCTCATTCAGGCCTTTTATGTACTTCGAGTTTTTTTTTGTTTGAAGTGAAAATGTGTGAATTACTGATTTTAATTTTAGGGTTTATCTGGTAACACGATGTTGGGTGTGAGTCACGTTGTCACGACAAGCGTTGGGATGTGTGATATAGACATCAGGCCGGTAAGTGCTCGCCATGTCCCAGTTAAGGCACAGATTTCACTGATTCTGTTTTTCTTACTTGGATGTGGGTGATAAAGGAGTATGAATTTCCTAGGGTAATTGTAATGCATAGTAATGCTGTAAGTATGATGTATTTGGGAATACCAATGTAGGCTTACCGTTTTGTTTTACAAAATGCCTAAGTCAGGATATTGGACTTAAACTCAGTGTTTCTATCTGTGTAAGTAGCTAATGTCTGTTTCTGGCTGAGCTTGTGTAACGTTCATTGGATTGGCATTTTTCTTCATACTTTGCATGTTTTTTGCATCAGCCTGGCAAATGTATTTCTTAAACATAACCAATTGAGTGGAATTCTGGGTGTGAGTCAAAGGAAGGGAAGAGGTTTTAAAGGAAAACCTTTTGGTTTAAACATTGTTCTCACATTCTCAGAACTCAACTTGAAAAGACTCAGGTTTGATGTGCAGTGCATGGAGGGTTGATTGAAAAACTTCCTCTTAATAAGGGTGTCAGGCTGTGTGAACTAGAGCACGATTAGTGTTCAGTGTTAGTGTGCAGCATTAGCAAGATGGAAAACTTAGAGTGCTCTCAGGTTTTTTCCTTTGCTATTGGAACATCCAGTTGGGAGTCCTTTGGAGCCAGGAGTTGGAGTCAATGATCTTAATGGGACCTTCCCAACTCAATTCTGTGATTCAGCTGAAAGTAAACCAATAGCCTGGATAGAGGATATATGTGTGACTGTAGGGCTCTATAACAGAAGGATATATACTGTGAAGTCATTTAGAATCATTAATCACAGCTCCTATCTTCCTTGTATAGTATGTTATTGAGCTCTCATGAGATGTTTTTCACATGAGTAATAAATTGTATTGTGAGAGGTAGTATTGTTTATATGAAATGATGCATTATTGTTATTGATTACATGTGTTTGCATGTCATTCCTTTGTGCTCTGTGAAAGTTGTTTTCAGAATGATTTTGGAATTAATGTAGGTTTCTTATTCTCTTTTCAGGGCCTCTATGGCAGTGTGATTGTAGCAGGAGGGAACACACTAATACAGAGTTTCACAGACAGATTGAACAGAGAGCTATCTCAGAAAACTCCACCGGTAAGACAACTCTTCAAGTTCTGTTATTTATCATTTTGCTTTTCTGCTGCATATGCTAATGGTCTCTGTTAGGAGACGAGATAGAAACGGCATATACTTCTGCTGCAGCATAGCTTTGCTTGGATTCTAAATGCAGGGCAGATGAGCTCTGTTGTAAGTTGAATAAGATTGATCTTTTCCACCTGCATGTTAGCACATACACAGAGTTCTTTGTGTTGTCCTCATGTTACTAAAGGGCACCAGCCTCCTGCAATTTGTATCTGATTTTCTTTCTTTTGTTTTACTTCATTTTCTGTGCAGAGCATGCGTCTGAAATTGATAGCAAACAACACCACAGTGGAGCGGAGGTTCAGCTCGTGGATTGGTGGTTCAATTTTGGCTTCTTTGGTTAGTAAACCCATGTTACATTATGCAGCAGTATTGCCCAAAAAATTAAGGTCAGATAAGTATGCAGTAAGAGTTCATGCTAATGGAGCAAGAATGATCTGAATTTTTCCAGTTGATCTGAATGTAACTTGCCACCTTCTTCTGTATTTAATGGCAGTGTGCAGGCTTGAAATACAGTGTCTAAAAATGTTGTGTAGGTAGTGCATCATGAAGGTTGCAAGTCTGTTTCTTTATGGTGTGCATGAACTTGATTGTCCAGGTTACTGAACATTGGAATGGTTAGTGGGAATTCCTGTAGCAGTATCAGACTGAAACCAGCTTTGGGTACTGCAGCTTGCAGTCTGAGTTTAATCTCCAGTAGGGGAAAAAATCAAAGGGAATTGAGTGAAGCATGTGGAGTCAAATCCTCTTTCTTTATTTGATGGAAAAACAAGAAAATCTTTACATTAATGAAAAGTGAAGCACATTTCTCCTAACCTTTATGTTTCTGGTTTGTTGTTGTTTTGTTTTTGTAGGGTACTTTTCAACAAATGTGGATTTCTAAGCAAGAATATGAAGAAGGAGGGAAACAATGTGTAGAAAGAAAATGTCCTTAAACCTCTTGCTGTGAAAACTGCTGCTTCCTCAGTGCTTCTTCTGACTTATAGCTTTAGCATACTCAGGAATGGGATGGACTTTTTTGTAGAAAGTTTATATTAGATTTTTTGCATAATTCAGGTTCCATTTTTAACAAACCTTAGAGATTTTGAGAGACCTAATTGGTACTATCATAGAAGAGGGATGTTATGTCCTTTGTAAAGCAATAATTCGTATAACAAGTATTTTATAATTTTGTATAAATGTCTATTTTCTCTAGTATCTTTTCCTGGAAATAGCTTTACAAGTTAACCAACAGAGGCATAACCTTGCAAATGCCTGCACCATTTTATTAAAAAAACCCCCTACTTTCACATATTAGTCTTCCTTTGCTAGTACTTTGGCCTTAAATTGCTCTTCTCTCAAAAATAAAACTTGCTCTTCTGTATTTGAGCAACCTTGTGAGTACTTGCAGAGAAAGTTACTCTTCTGTTTTAAAAATCCAACTTTGTATTTACTAATCTGCTATAGGTGGGTCAGTTCAGAGTGAATTTCTTCCCTCTGATGACAGTGTTACATTCCATTTAGTGAATGTTATATTACACACTGGTCTGCTAATTTTCCATTATGGAGCAATTTCATTCAGTAAATCATTACTGCTTTCCAGCTAGTTTCTAAGAATGTATATAACACGCTGAATGCCTTAGTGATGTAGATGAGAAGCAGAGCTTTTTAGAGACAGGGAATGTAAGGCAGAGAATTCTTTCCAAGACTGGCAGAATAGTCATAGACCTCAGGATGTGGCTTTACATTTTGAAATGAACTGTAACTTAGGGGTGCAGTCACAATTTGTTTACTGCTGGGTTAGCTCCCTTAGCTGACTTGGCAAGTTCAGTAAGTGCCTGCACTTGGCATGAGGTGTGTGTGTGCTCAGGCAGAGGAAGCAGGGGGATTTTTTTTTTCCTGCAGGAACTGTTATTAAGCTACAGCTCTGTGTTGCTGTTTAGCTTACTCTATTTCACAGCTGTGTGATGTTCTGTATTGTGGCACAGTGGAGTTTTGCTCTTTATTTTAAAGGCTGTGAGAAACCAAATAGCATTTAACTGATATAAAAATATGTGAACAATAATTGCTACATTTTCAGTATCCTAGAAAACCTCAAGGGTAAATAGGGATGGGGCCTCTAGATGAGAAGTTTCATGTTACCTCCAAGCAATAAAGTAATTTATCAAAACAGCCTGTTTTTTGTCATACCATAATACACATCATTTGATTCTTGGATAAAGTTGCTTGCTTCATGTTTCTGAAGCTTCTGAAAAACTATACTTCTGTCAGCAAGTGAGGCAAACTTAAGTCAGCTACACTGCATGAAAACTGCTTGCTGTTGTCAAGCTGGGAAGGAAAAGACTTGAGGTTGCGTTCAAGTAGAATGTGAAATGTCAGCTGAACTTGTATCTTAGCAGGTCAGAACTGTGTTAGAAGTTAGAATGAGGAGAGAAAGTAGGTGCCTTGTTTGTTTCTCCATGAATTGAATGTAAATTTCAGGCTTTTCTTCTGTGGCATGCACGTAAGTTTCAGTGATTATCTACTTTGTATCTTTGTAAAACTACAGTACAATGGCAGTATCTGTGAATGGCCTAACACTTCATGATGAGCAAAGTATTTTCTGGGGCTTTATCGCCATTTTAAAGAGTTTCTGACTATGAAGTAGGTATTTTGTGTAATGTAGAGAATTAACTGAAGGTCTCAGTGGTGGGGATAGATTTATCTGCTTCATTTTCTGTTGCCCTGGAGTATCTACTGTTTTATCAGATTATACTGCATAGTAAATTATTGAGAAGGTGGTTTTATTCTAAATTTTTACACCATCTCATTTGAAGGTTAAAAGCTGCCATGAAGTAGTGTTTACCACCAAGTGAGACCAATAGATAAGGAAAAGGTTGCTTACCTTTCTGCTTCAACTGCAGAGAAGACTACTGCCAGTCTTCCTACACTTGGCTTACTGCAAAATAACAGCGCACCTGTGTTTGAAATGGTCTGGATTCAAAATCTAGAAATGTAGGTATTAAGACTGCATTTTTTTAAAAGCTGATATTAAATATTTGATCTTTGTTAAAGAGCCAGATTCACAGTAGGGAAAAGTTCCTTGCAGCTCATTGGAAGAGCTCAGTTAATAACAGTGTATTTTCTCTGGGTGTTTATGTAGAACACACACATAAAAGGTGATGATTCCAGAGCTATAGAAGATCAGGGAACAAGGTATGGGATGTGAGCTTCAGATGCTCTCATAAAACTCTGTTTTCAGTACAGATTTGTTAAACTAAAGCAGCTAAATACCCCCCTACACTTCATACTTCTGTCTGGCTGCTTTTTACTGTTAGTATGGTATGATTCACTTTACAGTACTTGGTTAAGGTATAACTTTCCCAATGTTTCTTCAAATAAGTGTTATGATTAATTTTTGAGTTATGCACTGAAGCAGCTCTTTAATTTCAAATCACAAATTTAATTTAGCTTAAGTTGAAATAGAGACCATGAGGGAATGCTCAGTCAAGTTGTTCACTGACTTCAAAACTTGTTTCCATGTTCCGGTTGCAAAGACGCTCAGACAATTGCTTGCAGCACTCTTCAGGATGTTACTGGCTCTGAGATTTTACAGCAAGGTGAGGAAATTTTTTTTCTAAGAGTTTCTGCTTCTTCTTCTCTAAGTTTTGCCTTCTGTTCCTTAGACGTAAGTATTTTTCAAGTCTAAGCCTGAAATAAAGTAGTGTGGTTAGAAACAGCGACTGCAATGTCCCTAATAAACTCACTAATCAAATAGAGGCTCCCACTGAGTATGACTTCAGTATTAGATTAACTTGTCTTTGATAAGCAGAAATGCCTGCAAAGCAGACTCCTTAATACCTTCTGCTTTTGAATTCTACAGCGATTACAATCTTAGGGGGCACCTTGCATATTTTGCATATGAAATGACTTAGATTTCAACTTCATAAGCAGTTAAATCTCTTAACTAAGATAAGAACAAACTGCAATTGATAAAAGCCTTGTTTTCAATCTACTATCTATTTAAAGGAAAAAGTTCCTTGAAAAGTGAAAGGAGGAACATAACAGAAAAGTATTTTCAATTGAAAAATGTTCTACCTGATGAAGCGGTTCACATGAGGTAAATAATAAAATTTCCTTTTTTTGTATTTCTTGTTCAGGTACCATGGTATTGGCCATTCCTTGTATGAATACCTGTTAAAGACACACAAAAGTGATTATAGAATGCATAGTCTGGTAGAATTCCAAGACACTGATAGAAAATTCTTGGGTGAAAGCCTGGTCTGATCAGTACAGCCCAGAACTTGTAATTAATGGTTGAGTTTAGGTACAGAGTCACTTAGCATGTTACAGCCATATGAAAGTAAATAAAGCATCATCTAAATGCAACTAGCAAACATGCTTCAATGTAATATACAGATCTTTTCTTGACCAAGAGGGATATCATGGGAGAACTTCAAATGTATGAAGAAGTTATCTTTTCCATACCAGTAGGTGCGTCCCAAGAAGTCATTTCTCCACTCTCCAGGTACTGGCTTTTCATGGCCAGTTTGCAGAAGTCTCAAAGCAATTTCTCTTTCTTTGACAACCAAGTCAATATTTTTCATGGATTTCTCTACCTGGAAATAAGAGCTGGTTTTAGGACCAACAAAGCACACTGCTTACAACTTAAAGATCTCAAATGGATATCTGACAAAATATAAAGGAAAGCATAGCTAAAATCAGCTAGGAACTCCATTGTATTTTCACAATTGTGGCTAAGTGAAACAGCTTAATTGGGTTTATATGCTGGCATACTAGAAAATGGGTGCTTTACAAGGCTAAGTTACAAATAGAACAGATGGGGGCAGGTGTGAATGTTAAAGAGTAGCGACTGCTGATAGTGATGAAAGTAGAGAGCTCTGGAGCAGGGAAAGGAAGGGAGCAGAGGAAGCAAATAGCAGCTGTATGTATTTCTGTCAGATGACTTGTAATAGCCTCTTGCTAATATAGCTTGTATCTTGTCTGCTTAAAGCTTCAGTGCCCACTGACTGGTTAGAAAGCTGTAGAGAATGTTTAAGAATTTTCTAGAAATCCTCTAGTGCAGCTTCAGTGAGTAAAGACACCAATATTTATTCTATGACAAGTGAAGAGTCCTTCCCCCTGTGTTGCTTGAGCAAAGCATGTGTATTCATCCTAACACAAAGAAATTCAGAAATGGTCTTTAGCAAGCCTGAAAGCACTTCACCTTCCATGCAGCAATTTTGCTTAAGTTACATTTTCAGCTAATATGACAAAAGTTACCTTTTCTAATCGTTCTGGACTTGGCATGGGCTTCTGCTGTCGTTTTGATTCTTGTTCTAAAGTTAAAAGCATGTTCTTTTCCTTTAGTAGGACATACCTAGATCAGAAAATACAGTGCTTTAAAATAATTTTTTTATACAGAAAGAGAGGAGAGTTATCCAGCCTACATCCCCGTATCCTGTAAAATTTTAATTAAAAAAAAAAAAGCAAAGACACTGACAACTGGAGGCAGTCAGCAGATAGCATCCAACCTACAGCATGAGGCTGAGGGAAATGGGTTCACTTGAAGAAAAGGTGTGGGTGGGAAGTGTTAACACTACATCATAAAAGAGCTGCTTTTAAAGAAGAGATCTACTTTGACAGAACTTACCAAAGTTTGTGCAAGTCTTGACTGCTCTTAGCCCTTAGCTGCTTTATATTCCATGCGTCCCCTGAAAAATAAAGGAAAAAAAACCCGCTGGTTTAGAAGAATCAAGTTTTCATACTCTGAAAAGATAAGCAGCTCTTTGCAGCCTCAGCTGACTATGAACAAGTATTGTCTTGCTGAAATAGTGCCACACCTCGGAAAGCCACCCTGTAGGGTATTCAGCTCTGTTTTGGCGATGTAAATACACTGAAAATGCACTGTGCCTTTGTGTTTGCTCAAGGCCAGGAACCAGGAAAGCTCTGTGACAAATTCTTACAGCGCTGTGCATTTGGACACAGATCCTGTCATACTCCGACGCCTCACACAGAGGATCGGAAGCGCTGAAGGAACTCACCGGACTTCACTGTTTTCTCTCCCCAGTTTTTTGGGTCATCGAAGAACTCTTCCAGGCCCTTCCGAGGCAGCGTAGTGTGCAGAAGCCTTGCGTGGCAGAGGGGCTCGGCCTGCGCCAGGCTCTCGTGGCACCGGTTCTGCGTGAAGCTGTGTAGCAATTAAAGGAAAAGCGACGTTTCATAGGAAAAAACTGCATTCCGCTCGTACAGCCGGAATCCTTCCTTCTCCCCGGGACTCCCGCCGCAACCCGCGCCTCCAGCCCGGCCCTGTCGGCAGCCCCCCTCCCTGTACGCACCCGGGCAGGCCGGCAGCCGCCGGGCCCGGCCGCGCTCCCGTCAGCCGCAGCGCGACCGCGAGGCGCCGACCCAGGGCAGCTATCGCGGTGGCGGCCGCCATTTTCCCTCGGCGCCGCGGATGGCGTCTCGCGAGAGCGCCGGAAGTAGAGGTGACGCTCTGCCCTCTGCTAAGATGGCGCCCGCCCAGCTTCAATCGCGTCATCCGGCTCCGCCCCCGTGCCAGTTCGGGCCATGGCGGCTATGAGCCTGGTACTGCGGGCGGCTGCTGCGTGGGGAGCGCGGCGGGCGGCGGGTTGCGCTCGTCTCCCCCGCCTCTCCGGGGCCGTCCATCTTCCCGGCACCGTCGGTAGGGTCTTGGTGGCTGTAGGAACGTAGGGTGGGGAGCGTTGGGTGCGAGGTGACCTTGGGGAGCGGAGGGAAAGGTGACCCGGGCAGGGGAACGGGAGGCCGCGGCGTGGGGCGTGGGGCTGTGGCGGCAAGCGGGGACCGCAATGGGGCTGTGCCGGGGCCGTGACGAGAGCTGCGCTGTCGGCCTGGTGCGGTCGCTGACGGGATTAATGTGCCGTGCTTTGGTTCTGCTTTCAGTTCCGGTGCGATACAGCAGCGGCCATGGGAAGAGAATGTTTATCATCAAGGCGACGAGCTTTTACGACACTCGGTTTCTGAATATGCTGGTGAGTAAAGGCAGGCTGAACGTATTCGGTATAACACCCCGTTGTGTGTCAGAATGCCTAAAATAGAATTTCTGCTGGCACTGTTCACACGAATAAGAATTGTCTGTCCTAAAAGCATTCTGTCCTGTGCTGTAACATCAGAGTCTGGTGAAGAGCAAAAAGAATCAGGATGGAGCGTGG